GTGTTTCGTTCTGCTGTGCATGGGGTCGCTATGAGTCGGAAACGACTCGACGGCACTTAACAACAACAACAACAACAGACATAAACAAACCCATTGTCATCGAGTCTGTTCCAATTTAAAGCAATGCTACAGGAAAACGTAGAACTCCATAGGATTTCCACGGCTATAGTCTTTACAGTGCTTGGATGGTATAGTGCCTAGGCATTTGACTGCTAGCCAGAAGGTAACCACCCAGCTGCTCTGCAGAAGGAAGATGGGACAATCTATTTCCATAAAGATTTATTGTGGCAGAAACCCAGCGAGGGTCATTATGAGTCAAAATCGACTTGATGGCAATGAGTTTGGTTTTTTTTTTAATCTTTACAGAGATGGACTGCTACATCTTTCTCCCACAACGCAGGCAGAACTGCTGACCTTTCAGTTAGCAGATGAGTAATTTAATCACTGTATTAGCAGGGCTTCTAGGTATATAGTCCCTAGAAAAACCAAACTCACTGACATCAAGTCAGTTCTGACTCATAGTGAGCCTTCCTTGGGTTTCTGAGGCAGTATCTCTATAGAAGTAGATTGCCCAACCGTCCTTCCAAGGAGGGCTGGTGGGTTTGAACCACCAGCCTTCTGGTTAGCAGTCAAGTGCCTTAGGCACTATGCTACCAGAGCTCCTAGGTATATAGTAGATGCCTAATAAATATAGGTAAGGTCAGACAGTAGGGGAGAGAATCATAGATTGCCCTTGGGAGCTCCTGAGCAAGGCCCTGACCCACCCTTGACTATGGTCCCTCACCCAAGTTTAAAAATCAGACCAGCAAGCCCTGCACCAAACCCCTCTGCTGCCTCTCCAGCCTTGGTTTCTCCAAAATGAGACAGAGCCAATGAGAGAGCAGAAGCAGACTTACGGGCTCTGTGGCTGGTCAGGCTTGGACTTGCTCCTCCTTCATCCTCAGTTGCCCCATCTGGAATAGGGGGTGAGATCTTGCATGTATCATGTGAGCATGGCCCTTGGCATGGTACAAGATAGGCGCCTAATAACTGTGCCAAGTTATTCATTATAATAATTTATTGATGGAGGTGGGATTGTGGATCCTTCTCTCCCAATGCAACTACAGGCAGGTCTCATCTTCTTTGAGTCTCAGTTTCTCCATCTGGAAAAGGAAGCTGTGCATGCCAACTGGAGACAGACTCCTGCTGTCCTGGGACCTCCAGCTCCCAAAGTTCATGCTGGCAGTGATGAGGGGTCTGAGGAGAGGGTCCCCTTGCTCTTGCACCCTGAAACACTCAGGCAGTGATGTTCTGGGCTTCAAAAGGGTTTTCACTGTTAATGGGGATGATGGGTAAATTTGGGGAGGGAGTAGATGAATACACTTGGGGGTTGGACACTGTGATAGCTGAGCTTGGCCTGTGCTGTGGGAACACCTGGCCCCCAGATCTCCTAGCCCACCTGCAGGGCTGCAAGTACCATTGCCAGGCCCAAAGACCCCTGGAGGGATTCCCTCTTACCCCTAATAAAACCCAACCCAATCTTCCAGGGCCAGGGCCAGCTGGACGTGTAAACCAAGTCCTGGGCAGCCTGATGCCCCCTCAGTGCTGCTTCTTGTGGTGGGCCAGGGAGCCTTGGGGCGGCGGGCGCAGGAAGAAGGCGGGCCGCCGCAGACAGCGGTAGGCAAGCAAGTGGGGGCCCAAGGCATAGAGCAAGTTGCACACGAAGAAGCAGGCCCAGGCATCCTCAGGCACACGGTAGGTGAAGGGTGTGCGCAGGTGCAGGGAGGCGCCCATGTGAGAGAATTGCGCCTGTGGTGGATGGGGAGGAAGGATGTCAGGGCCAGGGTGGGGCCAGAATCACCAACACCCTGCCTGGGGTCTCCCAGATGGCTGATGGACGGAGCAGGAGGGCTCTTGTCCCCAATTGCAGGTTCTGCCTGATTCACCTGTTCCATATCTAGTTCTGGCCTGTTTCTAAAATAACTCTGCTCCACCTGCCCTCATCTACCTGTCTGTCCTTGTTTACCTCTCTGTGAATTGTCAGTGCCTCTCCCTAGCTGCCTGACCAGAAAGAACCATGTTCACCCCATCTCCTGCCCTGCACTCCACCTCTCCGACCTGGGACCAGTTCCTCCCAGTCTTCCCCTATTCAGGGAGAAGCACCTCTGTCCACCCAGCTGCAAAATCCCAGCAGCGTTTGATATGAATCTGCTGATTCTACTGCCACCAACATCCTCCATGTCCCCACTGCCCTGGCCTAGGCCCAAGCTTACTTTCTTTCCACTAGGAACCCAGAAAGAGGCCTCAGCTCTGAGGGGCTCTTTTCAGCTCAGACAACTCCCATGGCTCTCCAGTGCCCTCCATATAAGTCCTCAAGCCAAGTTCAGAGCCCTCAGCCTTATCTCTGCCTTCATCCATGTTATGGCCTCCTCTGTGACTCTCCTATGCTACTCCCACTCTTGGAATACCCTTCCTTGTGGGAAGAACTCATATGCATACTTCAATGCCTAGCTCCTATGCATCCAATCCCTTTCTAAGAAACATTCTCTTTTGGACTCCTTCTATCATCCCCTGTTCTTTCCTCTCCCCATGAGCTAGCAGTGTCTGTTTTCTGCTGTCACCCCAAGACTGGGCACCCCTCAGGGGCTGTGCCTGAGGCTGAGGCCTCTGGGAGGCCCAGCATCACCTACCCAGGCACCAGCACAAAAGCAGGTAATGGGCAGGTGGAAAACCTCCCTTAGATGCCATCCCCACCCCCGCCTCACCTGGCCAACAGCTCCGGCAAACACTAGGGCCCAGTCAGGCAGCCAAGAGCATCCAGGGAAGATGAGGGCGTAGGTGGCCAGACAGTAGAAGGGCAGCACGTAGAACATGTACACCAGCATCTGGGGGCAGAGAGCCCATGAGATGACCAGTTGCCCCGGTTGAGTCTTCCAAGACACCCAAGCCAGAGGGACCTAGGGAGGATCTGGCCAGCCTCAGACCCCACCTAGGATGGAATCCTGCACAACCAGCATCTCATCCCTCACCTGTGGAAGTGAAATCCACACCACCCGCTCCACAAACTCCTGAGTTCCGGTGCAGCTGAGCCCATCCCTTTACTCCAGAAATATCACGTGACCCTTTTATCTCTGGCCAATCAGAACATCACAGCCCCCTAGTCATAATGATTGCCTACAGGAAGAGCATGTGACTTAAGCTGGGCCACTCAGAGCCTGTCTGAGACTTGTGTTTAAGCTGGGTGGTGGGGGATAAGGGCTCACATTTTTCTAGGTGGTTTGAGGAGGATAGAAGCCTGGCAGAGGAGCCTCTGCTGTGCCAGGAAAGGGCTGTCTGGACTGTAACCCGTGGCCAAACATAGAGCTACCCATGAACTAGATCCAGCCATGCCTGAAATTCAGTTCTGTACCTTTAGTGGTTCTGCCAGTTTGACTTGTGTTTCTGGCACCTGAGTCCAAAAGGGCTCAGTGGTGCCCTTCCCACAGGTGGGACAGCCTTCCTCCCCTCCTGCCTTCTCACCTGCACCTTTGGATAGGCCACAGGATCCCGCAGATATGGTTCATACTGGTAGATGTAGACAAAACAGGCATCCGTGGGGCAGTCAAGCACCACCTTGGGCAGACAGATACCCCATCACAACATCCCTCCAAGGGAAGAGTCCCCCTCCCTCCCAGGTGGGCCCACGCCCCTTGCTCCCTCTGCCTTAGGTCTCTCCCTCTGGCTGAGAGTCCACAGATACCACCCCCAACATGGTTGGAGGAGGCAAGAGGACAGAATCTTTGCCATGCAATACTCAGATCAGACTTGATGAAGAACTTCCATGAATGATGAGATGAGAAAGCAGTGATCTTTTTGCACTTGATAAAGGAACAGGATGTCCAGCTCAGACTCACCAGGCCCCGGAAGAGGGTGAAGAAGCCAGCAAGGGCAAGGTATACGACGAGGGCCAGGTCTGCTGGGCGCTGCAAGAGCCCCTTCCTCTGCTCTTCCTGCACCTGGTCCACAGGAGACAGAAAGAGACAATGTGAGAGATCTGGTATGCAGTAAGTGCTCAATAAAGGCTTATCTCTTCCTTCCTGACTTACTAAGTTCTTTCTGGAACAACAAGGTGTTCCAGAAAGAATTTAGAGGATGTTTAGATGTTTGGGGGTGAGGTGCCAACCAAACAATGAAATTCATGGCCATTAAGTTGATCCCCAAGGGGATATCTCTACAGAAGTAGTACATTGCCCAATCTTACTTCGGAGGAGTGGGTGATGGGTTTGAACTGCCAGCCTTCTGGTTAGCAGTCAGATGCCTTAGGTACTATGCCACCAGAGCTCCCTCTGGCTCAGAATCCACAGATACCACCCCTAACAAGGTGCCCAGGGGAACTCAAGTGGGGGCCATTAAGGTATGTTGGGATAAGACACTCACCATGTTGGGGGTGCAGCAGGTAGGTACCTGGGACTGGTTGAAGACCCTCATGCCAGCCCAGCATGGGACCAGCATGTAGGGAATGGTGAGGAAGAAGGCGGGTCTGATTTCTGAGCTGTATTTGCCTGCCAGGGTGGGGGAGGGTGATATCACTCAGTGACAGTTTCCAAAGCCTGGATGAACTCATTAGCCAGGTTATACCAGAGCCCCTAGATGGGCATCTGGATTTATTTGCTTGAGCTCCAACACTCTCCATAGCTCCTCAGTGCCCATGAAATAATGTCCATTTGAGAGTCTGGGTGGCCTGCCTCTGTTTATCTTTGGCCTTTGGTTTCTTCTAGAACTGGCTCTCAACATTGGGAAGCCTGAGTGTGTCAACATATTCTATATTCCACCCGTTCTTCATCTCATCACTTCCCTTGAGTACACCTAAGTGTTCCCACTACCGAGATTTTGCCCACACTGTCCGCACATCCCAAGTGATCTGCCCTACTTGTCCGTACCTCCCGAGCCCTGCCTATAAAGCTTTAAGTTTCTTCCTATGTCAGGAGCATTTGGGGTCAAACCTCTGGGGTCAGGGGTCTGAAGCCTGGGGAAGAAATGGATTCAGGATCTCCTCCCCCAAGAACAAATGGGGGGAGAGGCTGCTAACTGAGGATGTGGGTGAATCTGCATCAGAGAGGAATGGTCTCTGCACATGCTGAGAAGGGGACAGAGGATCAAATGGAGGACTTCTGGGCACAGAGCACTGACCCAGCCCAGGGGGCATGAATTCCCCCAAATTAAGTCCTTACCAAGAATGTTTCCTGGCAGGAATACCAAGATGCTCATGACGAAGGAGCCCAGCCAGTAGAGTCCAAGGTTCCGATACCTCTTCCTGGTTGGAGGATCACAGGGTGACCAACGGGTACCAGCCCTTTGGTCTCAAAGCCCCACACAGGGCCCAATTCTGCCCAAGATGGAAGGGACAACAGGGGGACGAGTGGGGAAATGACCAGTCAGACACCTTCATCTAAGGACAGGTGGCTGCCCAGGGATAGGTGCTACCCAGACACCTGACAACAGTAGCTGGAATCTTCTAGCCACATCAGCCTTCTCCCAGTCTGGAACCCCTCCAGATACTCGTGGCTCCAGTCTTGCCTGAGACCCCACCCTGAGGTTTCAGTCACCCTCCAAGTGCCCCACCAACCTTCGGCAGATGGCACCAGCCATGGCCAGGTAGAGGAGGTAGTGAACAGTGCCATCCCAGTAGCAAATGAAGATGCCATGGGCTGTGCGCAGGTAGGGCTCACCCTGCAAGGGCAAATGGGAGTCTCAGGTGGGTGAGTGGGGGGCAGGGAGCAGGGGGCCTCCCATGCCTTCCCCCCACACGTACCTCCTTGGTGTAGAATTCCATGAAACCCACCACATAGCCATCTTCCTGGAGAGAGATGATGAGGTCCACCACAGAGGTGAAGGCGAAGACAGCGAACACTGTGGAAAGTAGGCAGGTGCTAGGGACCTGAAGTGTGGGTGGGGCTGGGTTGTCAGGGCAGAGCTCATGCTGAACACAGACAGAGCTCTGGTTAGGCATAGGTGGGGTTGTGCCCAAGTAGGGGCAGGCCAGACCAGGTGGGCGCAGACCAGATCAGGTGTGGGCACGGCTTGGAGCGGGTGCCAGTGGGGTCCAGGCCCAGCATGGGTGGGGCTTGGGACTGGTGTGGGCAGGGCCTAGACTGGGCACGGTTGGGCTGTGGCAGGGTGCATGGGGGTCAGACAAGGAGTATGAGAGGTTCTTGAAAGGGAGGGCTTCAAAAAAGAGTGTGGGGGTGACTAGGGTATA